TGCAAACTGCTYTTGGAGGTTTCATCCCTTTCAAAATCAGGCACAATCCCTAAAGGTACTGGCTCAGGAACCTCTTCTTTCTGCCCAGGCAACAAGAGAGGCTGTAAATCTTGCTAAGAGGTGAGACGATGCCAGCCTGCAGGAGGAGACCTTTTTCTTACTCCAGCTCAATACCACCAGAAATAGTCTCTGATCTGYCCATATCCAGAGAGATACCCTGGTCATAGCTCCAGTCCTAGAGCTGTGCTGAATAAACCTGGCACATCCCTGATTTTTAGTGCTGTTGGGATGTAATGAAGACATAACTACCAGCACAAAGGGCAGTACTGTGTTCCCTGTTCCTTTTTCAGCAACTAGTCATTGTTGCAATCTCGGGTTGATAGCACAGAGGAAAGAAACCCCAAACACAGACAAGGGCTAAATGATCCAGATGAAGGAAGGCTCAAAATCCAGTTGCTTACTGCCCTGGTTTACCTCCTGCTGACACTGAGTAACAAAGCTGCTCCACGAGCTTTGCAGCGGGATCCTCCAGCCCAGGCAGGTGCTGTGGTCAGTGCAGCACTGTCTGCAGCACGGAGCACAGGCTCAGCCCAGCTCTCTGGCTATGGGGCCTCAGCTGCTGCAGGCAGRTAAGTCTTCAACAGAAACCTTCAAATACCTGAGCATGGGAGTGTGATTCTCTGGGAAGGTAATTCACAGCTTGTGCCTTGACAGAGGTGCAAAATCCACATAAATGACAGATCCCACACCAGGCCTGAGAGCAGAGCAGACAGAACCACSTCCTTGTTTGTGGTCTGGAGTAGTGGCTACATCACATAAATACTGCAAAAATAACCCTGCCACTGCAAGGAGAAGGTGTGTAAAGAGACAAGAGACCCTTCCCTGCTTTCATGACAAGTATTTGGTGGAGTTGTGCCAGCTAGCTGATCTTCACAGAGCAATGCCTGTAACATCACAATTAACACTGGCAGCCAGAGTAAGGGTTCAAGGGAACTGTTGGAAAAGCCCATGCCACAAAGGTTCGTAGTTTCACTTCTGCAGCATTCAGGGCAGAGCARGCACCTCAATAAGATCGGGACCAGAGTCTGCTGCAGTGGGAAGTGAGACTGCCACTGCAGGCAGCAGCATCCCCCCTACCCTGCACACCTGGCCACCTTCAGATGCTGGGAGATTTCTTTCAAAGCCACTGAAATGCATTGGCATTGAAATCTGAGGCAGCAGAAAGGGAGCAGAGAGAGCACAGTCCCTGAAATGCGCCTGGGAAACCTCTTACTGGGCTGAAATTTGTCACATGGTTTTGCCCTGTTTGATGTGTTTGACAGGGTATGGCTTTGGTATTGAAGGAAAATTACACCAATCAACTTAAGTGAAATAACTGAACAGCCACAGCTCTCATTTAATTCGGGTGCCTTTTATTATACTGAAGTACTAAAACCTCCAGCAGCAAGCAGTCTAGGCAAAGAATCCCACAAAGAAAGGGCAATGAACATGCTCAAATGCAAGGGCTACCATTTACATCTCTCCCTCTCCCCCACTTTTTTTATACTGCCTAGTTCCTGCCTAGGATCTGGAAGCCCATATCCATGGGGCTGAATTATTTCCACTCCTGCATCCTAGTCCCTAAACAGCTCTTGCCTGCAGTAAGAAATGTTTTCACTGTAAGCTTCTCAGGAGTTAGCAAAGCAGCAGAATTCATTGAAAACCAACAGCAAAAGRTATCTTCACTTAGGTGCTCAAAACTCTTCCTGGAATAAGATACTGAAGTTTGCCTGTTCTGTTGGGTATGATCCAGAAAAACCAGGACCATCTGCTACCATCACATTGATGACAGCCAGCCTAGCAGCAGCTAATTTATGGAAGCCAAGACTCTGAAAGCAGACAGGTATGCAGCTCCAAGAGCAATTTTGTCACTGCAGGAAGATGTTGCACTACAAGCAGGAACTGCCCAGGGCAATCTCTAGTGAAAACCTAGAGGATACAATGCTGTACAAAGCAAACTTAACAAAGCACAGGTTGAAATAGAGAAGTTTAACAATCAATCACATCCAGCCCAGGGCTTGGTGGGCTTCTGTCCTCTGGTTTTAGTTTATCACAGACTCTGGCTTAACCAGAATCATCTGGGTAAATAACACTACTCAGTCACAGTATTCGAAACTACACCTGTCTWCAAGACCTTGAGCTAGGGCATGGTGTCAGACACCACACATCTGCTTCCCCACCTGGCTGCATTAAATCTGTCTAAGTAGTGAGATTTCCCCGATTCCATATCCACAGGCTTCCTATTTGTCTTCTAAAAGGAACAGAGATGGTTTGTGACACCAGGGTGCTCTGCAATAACAAGTTCTTCCAGACAGCTTTTTCCTCTTGCTTACAACACGGCTACAAGCCAGAAGCAGCTAATGTGAGACTGTACTCCTTGTGAACGGTCTGAGGTCTGCAGTGTGGAAGCCCAAGTCAGAACATTATTTGTAATCCCTGGATGAAAGAGAAGAACAGCTTGGGGCCATTTCCAAATGGTCATGTGAGCCATATACCTCAAAGTTAGAGCACATGACAGGGCATTGCATTATTTGGTCTYAAGAAGAAGCTATGTTTGTATGACAGTCAAGTTAAAGAAGTTCTTCAGACTGAAAACTGGGGAGGTACAGGTGCACCAAACTTTAGAGAAGTGGTCAAGAGGAGTGGGGTGGAAAAGAGTCTTCGCACTTACCACCTTGCCATTTCAGCTTCYTTCTGCAGAGAAGCGTCACATTAAAAGAAAAGTTTTTAAACACCCCAGAAGGTTGTGAAATCTTGTGTAGAAAGCTCTGGAGACTGATAAAGTCCTGACAGACAAGTCGGATCACATTTGACAGAGTTACAGGAGTAGAGAAGTTAGGGGTGAGTCTTATCTTCAATGAAACAATTGACGCCCTCATGTAAAAAACCCCACAACCAAAAACCAAAGTGCTTCTTGGCTCTGAGCACACCAAAAGAATGAGACCTGGCTGAGTTGCTGTAAACAGAGGTTGAAGAAGGATGCATAGGAAGAGGAGGCAGAACAGGAGATGGAAGATACTCCCGAGATGTAATCTTCTAAAGGAAGATTAAGCAAGTTACACAAAAGCACTGAACGCGTGTCCAGGTGCCAAGGCTCCGGTCCTGCGCACTGRAGCGGATGCTGAACTCGCGCCCATCAGCAGCCTCGCTGGAGCGACCCACGCTGCGCACACGCGTCCGGGCAGAGCCGGGGTCCGGCTGACAGCTTGGAATTCAGACCGAGTCCCTGTCCCCCTCTCCCCGGCCGGGCAGGGTTCAGGTGCCTCTACCCTCAGCCCTACAAGCTCAGCCCAGCGCTGCAGCACTCACCCGGAGCGCGGCTGGCAGCCACCGCCCGCGGCCACCCCGAGCCCCCCGCTGAACACCCCACCGACCCCACCGCGCCGCAGGGCGAAAGGACCGTCCTCGCACGGCAGCCGGGCAGGACAGGACGACCGGCAGAGGGGCAGTGCCGCCGCTGCGGAGCCGAGAAGCCTCCCCGGTGGAACGGACCGAGAAGCACCGTCCGCAGCGGCTGCCGGACCGGCTCCTCCCGGGCCGCCCGCCCGCAACCCTCCGCCACGGCGCCGGCACCCACCTGCAGCGAGAACCGCCGGAGCGCGGCCCGACCGAGAGGCGCGGCGATGCGAGAAGTGGGAGGGAAGAGAGAGAGGAAGGGAGGGATGCAGCCGCTACCCGCCCGCCTTCCCCTTTCAAGCCGGCGGGCGCGGGTGGGGCCGGGCGGTGCAGCCCCGGCCCACGGGCCGCACCCCGGGATGGGCCGAGCCGAGCCCGGCGCTGTGGCACGAGGGCGGGGCGACAAGGGGACGGTGCAGGCACGGAGAGCCGCACCGGCTGTCCCGGCAGCGGGCAGCGCCCGTCAGCTGCAGCTTGTGCCACCGGCCGGGCCAGTGCGTCTGAACGCCGTCAGAGCATCGCTCCAGTGACCGCTGCTGGGCTCTGCCCGGACACCCCCAGGGCCAASACCCCTGGAGGGGAGTGCGATAGGAACACGACAGTCAGGACGGCAAAAGGGAAAGGATGGTGCGCAAGGTAACCGGGATGTGAAGGACAGCGTTTCAGCACACACCAGAGGGSGATGTGCTGTTGGTCCAGTTGCAGCAGTAACCACAGCTGTAACTGCATCAGTGTAGCACAGGGGAACCAGGACTACAGCAGGACAGCAGTAGAGCAGAGATTAAGCGCGTCTAGCAACTGCAAAATCTTGTGAGAAATTTTTCCCAGGTGTGTCAAGCACTTTGCTTTGAGTCTCACAAAGCATTTCTTACCCTAATACTTGTTGCACTTGCTCAGTTAGGTGCTGATCTCCCGTGAGGCCGATGACATTATATGCATCCTCTGCTGAAACTTCAGACRGTATTATGCCTTCTCATACAGCACCACGTTCAAGATGGAAAGCTACGGCAGAGCTTTGGTTACAAAGCAATCAAGAGCCCAATGCACCTGGTGCATCCCACCTTTTCTCTAAGAGCATMGTGCAAGGGGTAGAATTGAGCATTGCAGCACTCCAGATCTCCACAAGGTCCTACCTATTAGCAAGTTTCTTTTTCTTGCACACATACAGGAAGAAGAAATCTAAGGGGACACAGAAATCACTTATTTTAATTAGGTCTATACAGGGTTTTTCAGTTATGCCTATTCTTCTTCCCATGTGCTAGTGCTGCTTATATGGCCAGCTGCCATAYAGCCAATTTGGCAGCAATGCTTGAGACGTAACCAGATATTCTKAAGGGAAGGGACTTGAGCAGCCTCAGTTTCCCTTGAGAGAAATTTCTTGCAGTCTCTCACCAGCCAGCTGCACAGACCACCTTTCACTGCTGGTCTATTACATACCCACAATCATGTAAGATTGCAAGAAGTGGTTGTAGACAGATGTAAACAGTGCTGTTACCCCCGAGCACTGGTACCCTCCCTCTTCCCACTACTCCATCTTAAAATACCAGATCCAGATCCACACAGACTACAAAGGCAGCAATCTTTATTTTCTGACACATTAAATTCTCACATTTATAGACTTCTTAAAAAACCTCAAACCATAAAAGTATTTTAAGGAGTTTCAAATGTTAAGCTCCTGATGATAAACAGAAAAAAGAGGGCAAACTTCAAGAAAGATGTTCAAATGCCCATGCAGAAAATACTCTTCCCACCTTCCTTTGGCCTCTAACCTTTACYTTCTTTTAATAACCATGGTCTCCTGGGCCCCTCTGCATTATAGACTTGAATCCAGGCCCCAGTGATTGTGCAASCCACAGGGAAGTCCTGAAAAATGCTCACTGGAAAAAGCTGCCACTCATGTAGATGGGAGTGGCTCATCAAGTCTCACCTAACCCTCAATTAGGTGACACTGCTTTGCACACAAACATAGCTTCCTGTAACAAGGATCTTCTCATTAACACCCTTTAGGGAGGGAATGGAAACATGGAAATCAGGCCCTGCACTGTCTCTCAATGGCTGGCAGTTTCAKCACACAGGGTAAGCAGATGTCACAGCCCACTACTCTATTTCCCAAACATGCACTACCACTATTCAATTTGTACTGGCAACGGGCTCAGTCCACTGCTCCTCAAACTACTTAACTTAAACCACCTAAGAGAGGGCAAAGKATCTGGGTATGTTATACCTGATGCAAACTGCACCCAAGTAAGGAGGCAGTCACACAAGTGGAGTGAAAGCAAGCCCACCCTTCAGCAGCAGTAGGCCATTATATGGACAGTTGCTCATGAAATCTCAGTTTAGGCTGCTAGTTTCTCAATTTGTTTGTGGCTCCCCATACTGACCATATACTTGTAGCTAGTACTTCAAAACTTACAGCACCAGGCTTTACTTGCCTTTGTGCTAAGGGGAAACTGGCATTTTACTTGTCAAGAGGGATTTAACAGATGGAAAACAGCTCAAAGAGCAAGTGATCCAACTCAAAAAAGAAATTTAAGGCATTAATGATACATTCATCTCAACTTCTAACAAGCTACAGCTCACACTGCTGGCAGTAAGCATAAGCTGGCACTTTTTATGTTCAGACACAACAAGGAGTAATGGCACATGGCAGCCAGAGCATCTGAAACAAAAACACTGCTTATCTAGCTCTGCTTTTTGCAAAGAGGCCTCTATCTCCTCAGTCTCTTTTCCCTTCCCACACAGTAAAACTTTGCAACCACATGCAGTCAAGTTTCTGTACAACTCTACTCCCCAGCTACACTAATGGAAGTGTTATCATGAGTGCCACAGCGGTACTRGACCTTGGTCTTTCTGACAATAGCCCCCATGTCACAACTATGATCGATACTGTTACTCAATTACTAAGATATTTAGAGACTGCTTCTCCAAGTACTCTGGTTAGTGGCCTCCACAGGAGTGCAAGGAAGAGGAAAGTAGGTATTTATTGCAAGGTGAACCCATGAAAGAAAACACAGAAGAGGAACCCTGTACAGAAGAGGAACACTACAASGGTAAACTTGAAATGTCAGGTGGGGTTGGGGATTACAGGCAGAATGCTCAAATCAGTCGGTTTTCTTACAGTAATGGCTCAAAGTGGCAWTACTTGGCTTTTCACAGGTATTAGAGTTCAACTGGGTGAAAAAGAAATGAGAGGTTAAAATACAGGACAATGATTTCTTTCTACTAGATGGGCGGGAAACAGAAAGTAAAAATTACTGTCAGCCTTTTAAAATAAGACTGTAGAAAATATAAGTCTTGGAGGTCACCCTACTGGTGCCAGTAACACCAGCTCAAGGATGGTTTCAAATTAGGAGACTAAAAAAATTTAGAAATAAAAGGGGGAAACATCCAACCATTTTCCCATATCCCTACACTGGAGCTGCCTGCCCCACAAGGGGCTAGGGGAGGTAGCATTCCAGGCAGACTTGACATCCATAATGTCCATCCGCCCATCCAAGATGTTCTGGTGAGCAGGTGGTTTATGAATTCCAAAGGAATCATTCTCAGTCACTTTCAAACTTGACGGAATTCACTTGGGTCGATATAGTGCCCCCACGGTAGCTTCCTCGTTTTTTCTTTGTTTTCTCATGGCGGAAAGATTTGCCTTTAGTGTATTTCAGGATATTGTTAGCCTTCTCACCCCAGTCACCAGCAGCTCCTTTCTGTGACGGATGGAGGGGGAGAAGGAAAAGAAATTCAAGTCAGTACTCAAGAGTAAAAGCAAGGCTTTGCACTTCACCATACCCAGCACACACCAGTACATKCACACTTGGAGCTGTTACCACTCTCCCATGCATCTCCTGCTGCTGCTCACATGCTCCTCCTGGTGGAAGACGTTTTTACAAAAACCATTCCCCACAAGCAGACCAAGGCTGCTCAGCAGATGTGTACTTGCAGAGACCAAGTGTTACCACTCTGGCACTACCTAGCCATACCTTGGCTTCAAATGAGTTATCAGCCACACGGGCATCCACCTCAATCTCTTCTTCCCTTACGCGGCGGAATGGAGAGGAYGGCTGTTTAGAAAGAAAACGAGATACAGTAAGCACATACAAACACACARTATTCCCTTAGTGACAACCTCCTTCCTTGCCCTGTCCTGTTCACCTCAATCTTTAAATGTTTCWCAGATTCACGATTCTTTCCCTGCTTCGGGTCAGGTGGCTCAGGAGTGCTCCTGTGCAAGCACAGCCAATCAGCTTTGCCCAGAATATATTATGTACTTATGTGCACTCCCTAGGGTTGTCTAGACAAGGTTTAACTGCTTGAACAGAGAGTAAAAAACCAAATAATCCTRTGGAAATCCCAGAAAAACCCAAAACAAGCCTACTTGTTCAGAGGGCAGAGATGCCTCTTCAGCCAGTTGCCACAGTCCACCCTCACTCACCCGTTTCACCTTGGGAACTGTGTGTGGTGTTTTGGCTTTGATCTTTGCTTTTTTACTGTGTGGTGTCTCTGGCTCCTGAACATCTTCCCTCTTCTGTTTCTTCCCGATTGTGCCTGTTAGATGTACAGCAGCAAAATTTTAAAGGCAGTGTGGGGAAAGGCAATGGCTTCTGTTCCCCAGAAAGCAAACCCAGTGTTGACACAGGTGTGAGAACTCGTCCCTGCATTAGTTCACCCACAAAACAGRCCGGTGTACCAGACACTAACAGAAATTCTGAGTCAGCAAGGATCTTCCCATCCTATCCTGATGGATAAAAATAATTTAATAGGGTAGCTCTATACTAATGATTTTGCATACTTGAGAGAGTTCTGTTGATCAAAATTTGCCAGATCTTGCATTCATACCACATACACTTGCACAGCTCACTAGTTGTTTTCCTCCTGGAGGGTCAAGGATTGAGATTGTGCACTGAGGCATCAACTGTGATGCCCCACTCCACACAGACAAGGTGGTCCAGCAGTGTGCTTTGCTGTAACTAAACCCTGTGCATGCACAGATTGCAACTAGCAACGACTACACAGAAATGTACTTTACATTACCACAAATTCCACTGCTAGCAGCTGTGCAAGACAAAATGATCCCACCAAATTCAAAACTAGCTCTTCCCACATATTACCGCACCAGATGTCATAATCTAGTAACACACAGATTAGACTGAATATTGTTTCAGAAAGTCTTCCATTCATGCTTAGCTCAGTAACTGCCTGACAGACCCACTTCCCACACTGTTGGTAATACCTCCATTGACTTTTCCAGTCTCTTCTTCAGAGCTGCTTTCACTGCTACTACTGCTGCCATCRGCTGGCTTAGACTTCACACTGTTTGCAGCTGCTGCAGATGCTTTTGCTTTCTCTGTGGAGGCAGTGGCCTTAGAATTGTTCTGCACCCCTTTCACAGCCTTTTTGGGTTTCGCATCCTCTTCACTGGAACTGTCTGACGAGCTGCTGCTACTACTAGAAGCAGCTGCTTTCTTCCCCACAGTTGCTTTTGCTGCCCCTTTAGATTTGGGGGCTGKTTTCCCTGCTGGCTTTTCTTCTTCACTGCTTGAGCTATCAGAGTCAGATGTGTCTGCTTTGGGAGCTGAAGTAGAAGGTTTGGACACGGGCTTAGCCACTTTGCCAGCTGGTTTAGCTGGAGGGCCTTTCTTCTTCTTCTCATCCTCAGAACTGCTAGAGCTGCTGTCTGAATCAGAGCTACTTTGTGCTTTCTTGGTGGCAGCTGGTGACTTCTTTGCTGCAGGGGTTGCTGCTTTAGCTGTGGGCTTTGCAGGAGCTGCCTTCTTGTCAGAACTATCAGAATCTAGAATGGAGAGAAAAAGAACAATCAAGACTAAGTTCCATTCCTTCAAGACAAGGCTAATATGCAGATTCAGTGTTGACAGAGTGCACTTCAGTATCTGCTTATAGCAACAATGCCATGGGTATTCCTGTCCAACCACACCCTCAGACCCTGCCTAGAAACACTGAGGTCTGAAAAAAGAACAGCATGCATGTAGAATTCTTCATCTCTCCCACCCCAATACCTGAGCTGTCTGAGGAAGAACTGGAGTCTTTCTTTGCTTGTCCAGGCTTGACAACTACTTTTGCTGGTTTGGAAGTATTCTTAATCACAGGCTGTTTAGCTGGGAGCTTATTTCCTACCTTCTTTTTATCATCTTCAGAGCTAGAATCTAAAAAAAAAAAAAGTTCTTTAAGTTAACAGGCTKCATGTACAAATTACTTTAGTAGTAACATGTATGTAACTCATGGGGGAGTGAAAAGCAAAGTGGCTTGTGGCTCAAGGCTGAGCCACTAGGTGACTGGTAAGCATCTGATGAACACTTGAAYGGTCAGGGAACAGCATTACTCTTTCCACATGTCTTCGTTGTTGGAAGAAAGCAGAAACAGTTTAAGTTTTTCACTAATACATGCACAAAGAAGTAAGATATTTGGAGAATAATGTAGGATAAGAGGTACAGAATAAAGAACTGGAGAAAGTACCTGTATCATCAAACTCAGGGAGAAGAAACATTGAGAAAAGTAGTTATGTGGTAAGGATCAAAAAAAGCATACAAAAATTAAGAGATAAAGTTGACAAAGAATACAAAGTTAGGCAGCAACAGCACAGTATCTCCTTTTAGCTACCTCCTGTATCAGATGAGTTTAGCAGCAGCTTGAGAATGGAGAGCCAAGTACAAATACACCTCTGTATTGTATTAAGCAAAACTGGACTACAAAACCTGATCTATTCCAATATTTCTGAACACTTTAATAACAGCAATCAAAAATTTGATAATTTTGAGAGAAATGAGGCAACAAAACCAGAAAACACAGAACTGYTGACACTCACTGGAGTGTCACATGGCCTAGTGCTAGGGCTAGATGTCTTTAGACTGGCASCTGTCATCCAATCGCTGCCATGGCACCAGAGATGTTGATATGCCACATCTTGCATATGGAGGGAACTTGGAGCCAAATGCAACATATAGGAAACTTAAATAGTTGACAGGAGAGACAAAGCACACTGCCCCTGTCCCTAGGGTCACATCAGGAGAAGGCACGCAACTTTTAAGTCTATTTTGTACTTTGTATGGTAATTACATCTTTATTACACAATGGAGTAACAGAAACACAAAATCCCCAGAAACAGATCTCAGAAAGAGTTTAACCATTAACCTTGCGAGAGAAACCTGATGCGTGATTCCCCACCCTTTTCACTGAGCAATATGCAGACCCTTCTGCACTTGCCAATGGTTTTGTCTTGTGGTCAGACTCCACACTGCATACCAGGCTGCTGGTTTCCAATTTCACATCTTGCTAGCCATGGAGACTCTGAAGCTCTTGAGCTCATACACTAAGGATCTTAGATGCAGCACTGTAGAGCAACTTGGCCAATAAAAACATTAACACCAAAGAATCAGAACTTTATTTCCAGAATTACCTGAGTCACTGTCAGAACTGGATTCAGCCTTCTTGCTAGTCACAGCTTTCTTCTGGGGGGCAGGGACTGTTTTAGCTACTACTGCTTTGCCTGCAAAAGCAAGTTCAAAATTAACAGGCCAYATCCATACCAAACCTTTGTCCCAAGATCCAAACCCTTCCAGATGTGAAACTGCTCCMTTCTCTGCACACCAGCCATTCAGCCAGCCCACTGGAAGCCACTAAGAACTTGGTTTATTCCCAGTAAACTAGATCCCAATGACTTTTCAAACTAGGATGCGCAAAGGAATCCAACCTGACCACAGTTCAGATYCACAGGTTGCACACAGTGTTGTATAGAATGCCTTTAAATTAATCAGAAGCTTCCAGAAAAGCAAAGAGCAGGACWGAGCAAAGACAAATGGCTTTTTCGAGGAAGGCAAGACATTGTCAAAACTTTGATGGCACCATGTAGTACTTCCCCTGCAGCCTCTTCTCCTCACAACATACCTGCTTCTGCCTTTGAGGGCACCTGCTCTGCCTCATCACTACTGTCTGAGGAGTCACTGCTCTCAGCATTCTTTGCAGGTGCCTTAGCAAGGCCCTTCTTTGTCTGTGTTCCTTGAGGAGGTGGTACAGCACTGTACTGACCTGTGAARAGAGACACAGCATTCAGATACCTGCATGATAATGTCAGCAGCATGAGATGTCTGCTGTAGTTAGTATAAAGTTCTTCTGCTACTCACTTCCATTTATTCCCCTTCTGTAGCTACAATCCAACACTATCTTATAATTTGAAAGATTATATCCACCCCACTGCTACCTCCCTGTTTCTAYGCTAACTGTTCCCTTGGGGTTCAGCTGATCCAACCATCTCTGCAGAAATTTTCTCTGCATTTTTAGAACAGGAGCTTGTCACCAAACTTTTCCAGAAAAAGCCAGACATGTCAATTTTTCATTGCTTTCATTTACTGCCTTCTCAAATCCTCTTGCTGGAGAGTCACACTGACCTTTGTTGACTGACCCCCTACTCAGACCAGCTCTCTACTGGAATCCTGAAGGCATTATACCATACTGAACAGAGGCTCATGTAGCCCATCAGCTGGACTGTAACCAAACAGCCCTGGACACTTCACAGAAAAACCTATTTRGCATTTTTTACGCACCAGACTTTGGCTTTTGTTTTGCAGGTGGCTTTTCATCATCTGAGCTGTCAGATGARTCCTCACTACTGGAACTTTTCTTGCCACGTTTGGTTTTCCCAGGACGTGCTTGAGTAGTTGCAGGTTTTGGCAGAGATGATTTCTTGGGAACAGCCTTATCAAAACAAATACACATTAAAAAAGGAAGTTGCAGAAATCTGGTGGGGACAACTRAATGTGGATCTTGTTTAATTCCACACCTCACTCAAGAACAAATTCTGAAAACAAAGGAAGAAAGTAACAGAGATTCTCAAATGCAAATTTTAGGAAACACATAAGCATCGTTATCTTTCTAGGTCCTCTGCTATTGTTTTCTGCTCCATGAACCCCTAATTTGGAATTCATCTGGACAAAGGGGCAGATGACTGACTTACATTTAGAAACTGCCACCTGATAAAAACTATTTTGATTATTTCTGTRTTGCAGAAAACATTTTTAAACACTTGCTAGTGGAAGAGACAGCTAAATGTGAAAGAGTCAGATCAAAGCAATTTTATATAATGGAGGCACAATATGGTTATGACACAACAAGATGTTTTCTTGTAAAGGAAAGAGCAGAGAAAGCAATAAGGAGTTATTATGGCAGAAAGCAGTGMATGGAGTGATGCTAGAACACATAATCCCACTGTATGAAAGAGCGGGAGGTGTAAGAGTTACACTGAGCATAGGATCTGTGTAGTCTGTGCCTGCAAGATGATACCATCCAGTCTTACTAGACTTGTGCACTGTTCATGAAGTTTTTCATGGTCAAATTTACCTTTTTTGGTGCAGCCTTTTCCTCCTCAGAATCTTCACTGCTGCTACTACTGCTTGCTGCTTTTCCATTGACAACCTTGGTGGCTGCCTGGGCAGCTTTACTTCCTTTTGAAAGAAGCAAAAAGGGACATTATGAAACATGCTATGGTAGAAGAGGGATAATGACACTGAGCAGTGAGTATCTTAGACAGAAATGAACCACAGAARCCAGTAACACAGATTAAGGTAGTACTGTAAAACTGTTGGGTTTATATTATAGTGACCTTAGGGAAAGTTTTCTGAAAACTGTCTCTTCCAGCATAATGATAGTTCCAAGACTAAAAGCTAAGTAAAGATCTTCCCTGCTTTTTGAAGGGAAAACAATGGCAAAAACAAAACATAAATGGTTAAGATTGCCGACCACAGCTACCTAATCAAACAATGTAGTGTTCAGGACCAGATGTTTTACTTGCACTCAGTTCTATATTTGTGTCAGAAGAGACTGGACTGGAGTGCAAATGGCAGTGAAAGGAGATTTTCAGACTGCTACATTACTATATATGCCTTTGCCTGTAGGTACAGTCCCTAGCGTTACTCCGCTGCTTTTTTAATTTTGCGCTTTTCTTAAGGTGAGATGTACCTGATTTAGGTGTAGCTGCTTTTGGTGGTTGCTTCTTTGGTGCTTCTTCATCTGAGCTGCTTGAGTCAGAGCTGGAACTCTCTGCTTTTTTCTGAGGCTGGATTTTGGTTCCAGCTGGCTTCACCACAGGTTTTGCACCTTTCTAAACAACAGGAGGAAAAACTGATAAACCCTCGTAGTCATGAGAATGATGACAGTAAGACAGACACACACACAGAGCATAGAAACAGCTGTATTTCACAAAGGCTACCAYTTTGATTTGAAAACACCMTTCTGCCTAGTGGTCACTGTCTGAAAATCCCTGTATAACAATTTGGCTCTAGAAAACCTCCCAGAAACACATGAGAAGCTTCCTTTGCACATCAGTCTTCAGTTCTGCATCCTCAAAATGGGGCAGTTCTGAGGCTGSTGCTGTTCTCCTCCTTCTACAGATCACAGTAGCTTGAAGACTGAAAATACTGACTGGGCAACTCTAGCTGGTYTCCTCTAGTGAACAATGATATCACTCTTCTTCCCCTGATATCATTTTTCCTCCCCTCTAATTCAAGACTATGACTGCACCAAAAAAAAAAAAGGGAAGAGAAGATACTCCTTTTACATAAACACATACATATATATATAAAGATCAAATTTATTGTAGCAATTTTAGGTAAATCTTTGCAAGGARGGAAGCTCTGAGAGTCTTAGGACAAAACCCAGGAGCAGACCTGGATACAAAACAAAGTAGGTGCTAGACAAGAAATTAATTTTCCCTGGGAGCAGTCCAAATGGCCTRTTGTCCACCACAGAAATGTCTTTTTGCATTGCACCTGCAGTAGCCTGGGCACTTCATAGTTCAGGACAAGTGAGCCTCATTTCAGACAGAATTCTGYTGGCCAAACTTGCCATTATTCATCACTATCAAACATGCATTAAACAGGCTGGAAAGAAAAGCCAACCTTTGCTGGCTTCTTCTCCTCCTCYGAGTCGGAATCGTCACTGGAGTCCTCACTGCTGCTCTCTGCCTTCTTGGCTGTAGGAACTGCTTTTGCTTTGGGCACAGCTGGTGCTTTAGCTGAAAATATGGGACAGCATACACTGATGACAARTTAATTCACTATTTTCATGTCCCAATATCCTGCACTAGTGGGTATCAGGGTAAAAGGACATAATATGGTTACTAMACCACAACTGAAGTTCATAATACTGACTTTGTTCTTGAGCAGCGTGCAGCAGATRGCTCCAAAATGGGTAAGCAAGCAGATAAAACCAATTCTAGACTTCGTCACACACAAATTTAGGTGCAGACTTCTATCACCAAAAAGGATAGCCCACAAAGAGCMCCCCCAAACTGAGATAATATTAGCTGGGTCTGCACACCTTCCAGCTTAAATAGACCTGCCAAACAAGTACAAACATTGTATCTAAGTTCAAATTCAGTTTTAGAATGGCTCATATTTTCTTTCTGTGTCTCTCCCTCTCCCCATTTATTTCTTCCCTGCTGCAAATCTGCTGCTAGATGCACACAATTCTGTGTAATTGCAGTGATCAAGAAAAGATATTAGGAAAGTTTCAGATAAAAGGGAAAAATACAGCTCATCACATAGCAAAGTGCAGGGGAGGGATGATTTTTTTGATARCATTAGTACATCAGCCTGAGAGAGGAAAAGGCTAGCAATGTCACACAAAAGGCAGGTGAGTACAGATGCCTGGCATTGCTCTGGAATGGCTAAAACCTTCTATGAGACACAAACACTGCTATGCCTAAATTGTAACAAGATAAAGAYATGACCCTTAGCTAAAATGAACATATCCTACATATCATGGGTAAAAGGCCTGCCAAAACCCACATCAGTCAATACACACCTAGTGCCTGATAGCTGCTGGAAGACCTCAAAAGAGCTGCTTTAGTTGAGATCTAAATGCAGCTGAGAAGCCAATGCCAAACACAACCGCGGTCTGCACCAGAGCCGCTCACAAACCCACCTGGCTTCTTGGCCGGGGGTTTCTCATCCTCCTCGCTGGAGCTGTCACTGCTGCTGGTGGACGGCTTCCTCTTGGCCGGGGCGCCGTTTGGGACCAGCTTATTCTTCTTGGCCGCCGGAGACCTGCGGGGAGAAGGGCTGAGCGGGGCCCTGCGGGGCGCGGGCCGGGCGGAGGGGCTCCCCACAGCCGGGGGGCACTTACCGCAGCCAGTAGGTGAAGATGTCCAGGAGAGAGGCCGCGTTGGGGTCCTGCTCCTTCTAAAGCGAGAGAGGGGGCGTTAGGCAGTGCCAGTCACTCGGCCAGCCCCTCGATCGGTCCATCATCCCCACCCTGTCCCGCCCCGTTCCCCATTCCCCGTTCCCCGCTCACCGCCGCCGCCTCCCTGGCGAAGGCGCGCGCGGCGCCCTGGCAGCCGCTCTCGCGCAGGAACGCGAGCACGAGGGGGAACAGGTCACTGGGCACCGCGCGCCGCTCCGCCATCATGCCCACGCCGACACGTGCCACGCGTGCGCACACCACAGCCCTACGTGCCCGCGTGCGTGCGTGCGTGCGTGCGTGCGTGCGTGCGCGCTACCGCCCCTCCCCGCAGCCGTATTGTCCGCGCCGCGCTGTCCCGGGGCTCGGAGCCGGGGATAGGGATAATCTCGGTGTTAGGGGACGGGGAAAGGGTGCCCTCAGTCTCGGTGTATGCATCAAGGCAATACCCCGTATTGAACGGCTGCSTATGGTGTAAAGGCAGGAGAGGGGCTGGGAACCCGGGAATGCCCACATAACTCGGGAAGAGGGAAGACTTCAGCTTAAGTCCACTTAAGCTCCACCAATTTACTTCGACTTGTAATCCATTTAAAATMATTTAAAAGAGAATGCTAGGGAGCAGGAGTAAGGAGCCAGGGGAATGCTGGGGAGCAGGACTAAGGCTCCTCCAGGGAGGAGAAAAGCCGGGAGCTGTGGGCAGTCTGAGCGCTGGGAGAGTCGTTACCAGCACAGCGCAGCCCCTCACGGCTGGAGCACGGCGGGCACAGCTGGGCGCTGGTAACGGGACTCATCGGTAGTCTCAGGAAAGATGARCTATGAAGCAGCTGAACTGGTATAGGAACTTATGAATTCTCATACTGAATCCRTACAGAATCAAAGGGAGTAAGTGCCAATGGAAGGACTTAAGGTGAAMGTAACACCATTATCCTAAAGCACAATCTGTAAGAGAGAGGCGAAGAATTTGAGACAAAGCTACCTACAGTATAGGCTTGAAGGGCTTCAAGGAGATAAGGCTGGAGATGTGGCRTGTAACAGGTATAGCTCAAGCAAGTGCTGAATACTCAGGCCTGACCCTGAATGGAGCTTCTGGACCTACGGAAAGCGTTACATGTGGAAGCTTCAGATGAGGCTGAGCAGGACAAGCTTAGTCTGTTAGTGTGCTCAGAACCCTGATACAGACGAGATTTCATTCATCTGTTGTATCTTGCTTGCTATCTATCTTTAGTCACGTACTGGGGAATTTTTTTCCTGTAAAACAGAAGGTTTGCATTGATGGATGTAGCTCTCTATTCYGGCCTTTGTGATGGATGGTGCTTTTCTTGATTTTCTTCAATAGAGTGTGCTATAAAGCTTGCTGAGGGTAAAGGGAGACGAAAGTCCTGTGCTTAAAATCTGTATTTAGGGCTGCCACGGTCAAACAAGCCGTGGTAGGTAGGCAGTGTTTTGCTTTTTACATTTCCCCTACCTAGCTCTCTGCACTTAAAAGTTTCCAAATACTGCTGTTCTGCACTGTGTGGGTGTTCTGTTCCGCAGTGCCTAATGACCACACATACTTCGGTGGGCTCTGATCTCAGCAAAGCATGCCTGTTGCTGGTGTATCTGGAAGGCCCCACATTTGCACTCATGGGGAAGTAAAAGTCRGCTCTTGTGGTATTTTGTACTGTAAGATTCTGTCATTTTGCACAGGTGCTGTAGCCTGCATTGCAGAAATGGGGTGTTCAGCTGAGGCTCGGTTAAATACATGTACTTGTTTTCAGATGTCCCTGACCTGCCCCTGTTAYGTATGGACTAACAGGGAACTGTTTTGCAGAAAACTGTTTGCAGGAACTAGTATTTCTTAGTTTTTGTAGTTTCCCTCTTCAGTAGACTACAGCTGCAAGCTTCATCTGCAAAGCTCAGCAAAATGTTGTGCTTTTGATGCATTAGAAAGGAAGAGATGCAGGCTTTGCTGGTAAATGGATACTTCAAGTCCTGTTGTATGAAGTAAAAGCTGTGAGAAAGCAAGGAATAACTGTGTTTGCTTCATTGGCTCACTTTGCTTCCCTGGTTAATAAGTATCTCCCTCTCCTGCCCAGCTTTTGCTAGTTAGGTCTGTTCCCGGTGTTGTGGGGCAGCTTCTCGTCAAAGGTGTGTGGCTTGTTCCCTGGKGTTGTGCCTGCTGCTGTCTGGATGAACTGGCAGGGAAAGCCATTTTGTTCTTGTACTCCCCAAGGTAGTGGGAGATCCTGGGATCTAAAAAGCAAGCAAATTCAACTGATTTATGTTACTGCTTGTGAATTCCATTGTTCCCTTCACCCACTCCTAAGTCATTTTGCTCCTCCCCGTACCTGCCATATCTCTTTCATTAAGGCTGCAGGGAGAGCTATGCACAGGATCTTTTTAACATTACAGTGACTAAACTGCCCCCAGCACTCGAGGTGAGGTGGTTGCAGAGCAGMGTGGGACAATCCTCCCCCTTGCCTGGCTGGTGATGCTGTGCCTGATGCCCGCCAGGACACACTTGGCCCTTCTGGCTGCCAGGGCACTGCTGACTTACATCCACCTTGCCATCGACCAGGACCCCCAGGTCCTCCCTTTCTGCACTATTGCATTCCAGCCTTTCATTMCCCAGCTCATCGCAGAAGAGAACATTTCCATAAGAGGTCTCTAGTCTTTCCACTTTTCTCATGACCAAGAGAAAGTGAAGAGAGATAGCATGGGTATGCAAATGTTAAATTCTTTCCTTGTTATTCCTTGTAAATACCTAGCAAAAAAGCAAAGGCTCCAGAAAGCAATCTAGTTCTTTTCTTTGAACAGGGGTAAGACAGACCCTTGAGAATAATGCTGCAAGTGCAGCTGTGTTCATATGCTGGAGTGAACTGAAGTTAGGAAAGAGTTGTACAGTCAAGTTTGGGCAAGGTAGGATGAAATACTCCTCCTATTTTCTCTCTTTTTTAAAAAAAATGTAATTCTTTATGAGCTTTGTAACTGTCCCTTAGGCCTGCCTACTAATCTAGGATGTGAAGGGGCTTTTGCCTTGATTTGTCATCTGAGTTTTTAGTTGGGAGGTAGCTGAAACAACATTCTAGCAGTTATTTTGCTTAAGCTCATTTGTGGAGGGACATTAATTTCACTTTAGAGACTTGGGAGGTTTAAATGCTGAAGAGGTTTCCTGTGGGCTTTGCATTGATTAAATAAAATGCAAGGTATCCTAAGTGACACTGACAGACATGAAGAAGCCCTGTGGATTCCCACAAAGCTGGAAGCTGACTCTGCTAAACTTCTCTGTGATGCTGCAAGGCTTTAAGGAGAGAATTAAAAACCTTATTTCATAAGAGCAYGTTGAAATCCTCATCTAACATCAGAGAGATGACTTTGTTTTAGCTTTTTATACTGGAAGATGCACAGCTTAACAAAGAACAGAATATGGAACAATCATAAAGTTGTACATGTGGCTGTCCATCTCTTTTAATAGTTCTTAATATATACTTGGTGTTCCATAATAGTAAAATAATTTGCCTAGAGGCTCTAGTTTCCAACTAGTYGACTTTTGTCTTTCACATAAATCCCAAGTAGGTTCTGTATTTGCACACTTTTTCAGTGCCTGTGTGTTCTTTATTCTAGTGTACATTTTTGGGATGATTCAGGGGGAAAGTTATGGCTTCTTCTTTGCATACCTGTAGTTTCTCATAAGGCTCTATCATCAGGAAGTGTTTTTTGTCCTGGTACTTSCCTATTGTGAGAGCAAACACTGGTTTTGGAAGACAGGCTGTGATACACAGTTTGTAAGCTTAAAGTAGGTTTTGAGTAAAGAAATATTTGGAGGTAACGAGAGTTTGATGAACTTCTAAGATAGAGTTGGTTAGTGGGAAATAGTTGGTTCCTTTCACCTCTGTTCTAACGTTAGTGGTGACACTAAGCTGCATACAGAATGTCCATTGACTGCTTGGGAATGACTGCCTTGACTGGGAGGCCAGATTGTAAGGGGTCTGCTTTAGCTGTGCTGAAGTGCATCAATGAAAGACCTCACTAGTGCAAGTGTTTTTTCTAAGTTTGCAAAGGAATAGGCTGAAAAATTTAGGCAGAATCTGTTGCTTTGTCTTCAGTGACAAAATTAGTAAGCTGAGCCCATCTCTCTGAACAATAGCAATGCCCTTGCACTGCTTATTGCCTCTGTACTCAAACATGAGCATAATCTTATGGAAACTGGTAAATCTCATTTGGAAGACAGCATCTTCTAGATGAAAACACAGAACATCAAACTACTTTATTCTGTAGGCAACAACTTGGCTTCCTTCTAGGAGCTTTGCTCATAAAAGACATGTCAAAACCTAAGTTAGGGATGAGTGTAAAGCAGGTATCGCATGTTCTCTTCCACAACTATTGCTCCAGTTTCTCCAGGACCAAGGATACGGAGTTTCTGTATCACTGTAAGATAGCTCTTCCTCGTCGTAGCGCTGTTTCCTCGGCCACCTATGGACTATGTGATTGGAGCCAGCTGGGAAAGGCAGTTTCCCTCCTCGGGGAAGAGCCCTGCCGAGTACCGGGAAGGCGAGGCACGGCCGGGCAGGAGCAGCCCCGTTCCCGGCTCTGCAGGGGGCGCCGCGGGCGGGAGGCGGGGCCGGGAGGAGTCCGGTGTCCGGTGCCGTGTCCTGTGCCGTGCCGGGGGCGAGAGAGCGGCYGCGGGGGGATGCACCGCGTTGCTGCATCGGCGATGTGAGGGAAGGGGAGCGGCCCCTTCCCCGCCAGCCCCGGACCATGGCGGCCCCCGGTAGGTGCAGTGGCTGTAGTCCCGGGGGAGCCGGGGGAAGTGGCSGGGCTTCTCCGGCGGGTCGTGCTGCGCGGCGGGGGCGGGGTGCTCTGCCCGCTCTCTGTCCCGCTGTACTCCGGCGGGCCGGGGCTCTCCGCAGCTGTGCCCCCGCGCCGAGCSGAGCGGAGCGGAGCCCTGCCCGCTCCCCCTGCGGGGCGGTGGGAAGGGGGGTCCACTCCCCGAGTTTAGGGGACCTCGGGGCTCTTCAKAGCGACAGTGCCTACTTTGTTCGTAGCCGGGCTCCAGTGCTTTCTAGTTTGCCTTGCTTTGCTTGGCTTGAGCTCGGGGCAGGTGCTCGCAGAGCTCTCCTGCGTCTTAAATGCACTTCGGCATGGCACATCAGCGAGCTCTGAGAGAGGGTGTTCTGTAATCTGTCCTGGTCCCCCGTTACCACGTGCATGTTCTTCTGTGATGTTTTATACAGAAGTCAGTTCTTCCTACATACGTCTTTATCGTTCAGCACCAGCTCCT